CACATGCCACACTGGTTTTTGGTACTGTAATGGTAATGTTAATAGACAGGCATAATCTGAATACAGGATATCCGATTCTGACCATACAAAAAAAGCCCCTAAAAATTACAAGCCACATTAAAAAAAAATGAAAACAACTGTTAGAAAAAGCTAACAATTTTCATAATGGTGTGGGTATAGCCAAACAATGATAAGTTTTGGCATCAAACAGTCTTTGACATGTTTTGAAATTTTACCTCTTAGCAGAAACTCCTCTTTTTAGAGGTAAGTTTTAGATTCTGTCAGGCCCACTATGTGCCAAAATTAAACTTTAAGAATGAATGATTTACAGTTAGGATTGCCAATTTCTAACCAACTTTTTCTTTATCCTGTGCACTAGAAACATTAAACCACACCTTTAGAAAGCCAGGCATGTAAAAAACTATTCTGGCAGGGTGCAGTTTTACATTCAGTTACCAGGCACTATGAAATCCTGAACAGAGACAAATACAAGAAGGGCTAAAAACAGAATGAGAACCTTAGGTCCTAAAATGAATGTACATGTAAAAATGTAAGCTAAGCTACTCTCCCCATCAACCTACCAAAAGGTGGACAGGGTTATTTACAGATCCTCTGCTGATACGGGTGGGTATTATTTACTGAAGTCTATGGTACAAGGATCTGACTCCTGAATTTCATAATTATTCACTTTAATTGATTTTTAGGAATACAGTTGCTGGAATACTATCAAAGTCTGTAACATATTTAAGATGCCTCTTTTGTGTGTGCTACTAATGAGTTAGATTATTAAAAAATATGAGCAATGTGAAAAATGTATCGATTGCAAAACTTTTCTATCACACCTCTTACATGATCCTCACTGTCAGATGTCTTTAAAAAATCAGCTAGGATACACAGGTTGGAATTATGGCAACTGATTTGAGACTGTCCACCCCCACATATGCATACCGGTATTTGAGTCCAGAAACTGGCCCTCAGGGTTTAAGGCACTGGAAGGTTGAGGTATATTTTAAAATTTGTATCATACTCTTTAAATTCAATGCATTTAAAGCTACCAAGAACAGAAATTTGGTTGGCTTACGCTTTCCACTGATTCAGTAACTATTGTCAGCACACAATGTAGCTATACAAATATGAGCAATGGTTAACACAAAAAACTTCTGGCCCTCAAATAACAACAGAAGCCATTATTCACAGTACATTAGGATAAATTTTTACTGTACAAGGATTCAAGGGCAGTATTAGGTCCTTCACAGAAAAAAAAATTGACATTTCCCCAGACACAACTTGACTTTTTTTTTTTTTAATGTATATTCTTTCCAGTGTTTTGTTTCAGGACTAAAAATGAACACATCTATGATGCAGACATCAAACTAAAAACACAGTGCCAAGAGTTTGTTTTCCCCAGTCTATTTCAACATATCTCCCTAGCACTAAAGGTTCTTACACAAAATAATATAGAAATGATGCAAATATAGCCAAACAACAATTTTATGCTATTGTATGAAAACAAACTTTAGTCTGGTGTTCCAGCTAACCAAAAATAAACATGGCCCTGTGATGTTCCTGATCCAAAAGGTTTTTGACTATGGCTATCCATCCTATCTAGATGGAAGGCCTGAGACCAAAGCCACAGAACAAACAAGCACATATGTTACAAAGTTGCCAGGGGAAGAAAGATCATAAAAATGAGTTCTCAACATGTTCAATGGGCTTATAAAACCTTTGGGAAAGCTAAGAGGAAGGGGTTGCAATGACTTCAGTGTGCTCACAACATCCAGCTAGTTCTATCTCACCCTCTCCCCCATTGTTAAATGACTTACAGTGTCTAAGAGATTTTACAATTGGTAATGGCTAGCTGGCTGAGATTCCACTCAGGTAAAAGTGAGGAAATAGTTACAGGAGAAACATGTGCTTAAACCGATGACTGTGTCATTCTTTCAGATATGGCCCTTGCCACTGTTTAGAAATATACTCTTTCAGTTGCTTTCATTTACTCTATATGGAGTCATGCCATCCAGACATTTGGAAATTGCAGCTGGTGTAGGAATGCAGTTATCAGATTAACTGGCTTTTCTTACAACTGTGCACTGTGACCCACCCTTATTTTGAGACAAGGGTTTACAAATTGCAAGCTCCAAGTCTGGGTTTAAACCTTAAAATATTCAAGGGATTGTGGCAGTCAAGCTAGAATTCCATGGCTTAAACAAAAGATGAATAGCTATATTTTGGGTATGAGCTTTATTTCTGCAATTCACTTCCCTTTTTGGTCTCCTGGTAGAAACTAAATGCATATAGACTTTCAAGCTTTTTCTCCCAAAGCAGAAATGGCCACTCTGGGAGAAAAATAACCTATGAACAACCAGGGTTAAATTGTTCCCAGGAAAATTTCTCATGGGAGACAGAATGTCTGTATTCTTTGTCCTGGCTTAACTTCCCCTGGGGATCAGGAAGAATAGAGCCAGGGGAAAAGCTCCTGGGCCTTCCCAAGCCAGTGATTCCCACTTTGGGAAAATGTCAGGGAGCTTTAATTCAGTGCTCTCTTCACTCCATTACTGAGACTGCGAGTGGAATGGAGCAGGCTGTTCTCCTTGTTCCCCAAATCCTGGGCTGGGATAGGGATGTTAAGTCTTTCCCTGTTGCTTCACAGGAAGGAGAGGAGTGCAGCAAGCACTGCTCCTCTTGCCTTCCTCAAACCAGGATCACCAGGGCTAGAGACAGAACTAACAAATAAATTGGTACAAGTGAATGGAAATCTGTTTAAATCTGTAACATGATGACTGAAGTTCAGTACACCCCTTTCAAAATGGCCAAAACTGGTTTAAGATAAACCTGGATGGATGTAGTATTAGACTTAACTGATTTAGCTTAAATCAGTTTATTGAACTTCTGTCCCAGGTTCCCTCCAGATTCAAGTTAACTGACAGACCCCAGCACCCCAGGATGCTTTGCACCTCCCCTGTAAACCCCTCCTGACAGGGTGAGTAGAGGCTAGTCTTGGGCCAACTTGGCTGCTCCAGCCAAGCAAGGAGGCATGCTCTAGTGGCCCCTGGCTTCTGGCCTGGGCCATTGGAGGCATGTGGCTGCACTTCCAGAATCACAAGTGAATTTCTGTTCACTTACTTTTGGTTCAATCTATGCAGCTTAGACTAACCTGTGAAGATTGAATCAATTCAGCCTCTGACTGTACTTAGTCCAGGTTGGCACAGAGAACAGAAGGGGAAGAAATGACTACAGACTGAATGTCTGTACTGCTCCCTGTCTCAGAAAGATTTCTACTGGTAGATGTTTCTCAGACATTTCTAGCACTTGAAAAGAATGTCTGTTCATGGCCATATGGTTTCACAGCATGATGCAGGACTCACTTGTTCTCTTGTGTTTTTTTCCTAGGGGAGCAAGAAATGTTTGTGGTAGTGGAACAGGAGAATTAAGTTTGTTCTGAAGTGGGGGGAAGAGTCTTTAAATGTGTGTGTGCATGGGTGTTTTGAATTATAGCACATGTGTTAAGCTGTGTGTTTTGAGATTTGCTGATAGAGGCTGCTTGTATATGCCATGGGTGGTTAATTTGGTTTAGTTTTCCCTAAATTAAAAGGGTAGGTTTTTAAAAACACTGCTTCAGTTTAAGGAGAATTAAACCAAACTAAAGCCCTGTGGCGTGTACACTAGGTTGGAGGCCTGATCCTTACCTGCCTCTTTGGCAGTAGAGGAGGGGGTGTGGTGAGCTGCCGGCAGGCTGAGCGGTCCCTGAGCTGTGTGGGGGACCCCAGGCAGCACCCGCCTGCTGGCACCTGGCCCGGGTGGTCCTGTGGGGTGCCGCAGTCATGGAGGGAAGCACCAGCCCCTCCACAGCCATGGAGGAAAACACCAAGCCCTCCCACAGCTCAGGCAGGCAGGCAGGCTCCAGGGAGAAAAAAAGACCACTTTTTTTCTTCTTTAGTGGAGCCTGCCTGCATGGGCTGCCACTGGGTCCCACAGCCCCTGAGCTGCCTGGGGCCTGCCAAGCCTCGAGCACGTAGGCTTCCAGTGCCCCATGCACTGTTGTACTTTGTTAGGTAGCAAAGTAAAACACCTCAAAGATGTCTTATCTTGCTACATACCAAAGTAATTTAAAGTGGACTATGCCGCCGAGCGTGCAAACAGCAATGCCATTAAAGCAGTGTAAAAAGGCATTTAAGCTGCTTTAAAGGCCAATTTTTTGCCATGTACAAAGATCCAGATAGCTTATACATCCAAATACACAAAAGATTCTCCTACCTGTTTTATGAAGTTACCAAATTTCAGGATCTGTACTCTCTAACTGGGGCCATGGAGTCCACAGAGCTACAGTACTAAGCCCAATATAAGAGTCCTGAATAGTCCTTTGTTGATAACAGCAATGGTTTGGACCTGGACTCCAGCTTAGTGAGATGAACAATAAGAAAGTTATTGGGGAGTCCATGTATGGTAGAAGAGAAGGGAGGGTAAGAAATACTGTATTCTTGCCACTATTACGCTTTAGTGAAGGGGTAAAGTCTTGCAACAACCACTGCTCTGAAGCAGCAAGAAGTAATCTTACTGTTCAATTAATATTTTGTACAGGTGGAAGATGGAAAGCATAAGGATTGATTTTTAGATATTCACAGTTCCTGTGTTTTTTTTCTTTCCTGGCTGTTGTTCACTAAGGTGACTGGCTTGGACTATTAGTAGTAATGAATCTTTTCTGCATGAACTTGCATTTTTGCTAATTTTCATTATTTCTAACCCTGACAGAGTTATTAACTAATAAGGGAATCAGCAAATGAACACAAAAAGTTTTCAGTAAGTCTCTACTTTGATAAGCTACCAAAAAGCAGAGAAACACAGGATGAAATCTCAATCCCATTGGAAATAATAGCAAAACTTCCATGGTCTTTAATGGAATCAAGATTAATCTACAAATAATAAAATATAGTTCAACAGCTTTACTGAGATGCATTATTTGACAATTGTTAAATTATCTATATTTTCCCTCACATTCCTACCTGTGTATTCAGGTGGACAAAGACACGTGTAGTTATTTATTCCATCTACACAGGTAGAATTATTTTCACAGTCATTATCTTCACAGTCATCAACATTCACTTCACAGTTTTCACCTTCAAATCCATCTGCACAAGCACACCTGTAATAAAGAAATTAAATGTGCTTATCCTGAGTTCAGTTGGGGAGATCAAGCAATCTTACAGACATTCTGAAATGGTCTGTCTTACAAGTAGTTTAGAAGTATTTTGAAAATGTTAACATTATAAAACACTGATTTTCACTTGGTATGCCCTTACAATGTAAAAACAAAATGCTTCCTTCGCAATTTGTCTTCCACAACTGAATGCATGTTGCCTTCATATCATAGATTTACTCATGAACATTGCACTCCTTTGATTTTCAACACAGACAATATCAGAGTATAATAGTCCTACATAAAGGGTCCTGAGCCTGCAAAGTCATATGCATGTCTAGCTTTACTCATGTAAACTTTTGTAGGATTGACCTTTATGTGAAATGCATAGATATACAATAAGAAAACCACTGGTTTATCTTCAGGGAAGAAGCTATGCCTTTTTGTATGAGGATATAGTATATTAAAACAAATAATGGATGCAAATTGTTCACATACATATGCACAAAGTATATTTATATATAATAAAAAATGTCAATGGTATTTCTGGTGCACCCATCATGATAGTTATATAATGATCTTTGAAACCAGGCACACTTTTAAAAAAGACACTGGTCAAATTCTGAAGTTAGAAAAAATATGCCAATGGCATGATATTAAAATGTACATAGTTAATTGTTAATAGCAGGCATTCTTATCTTTTGGTAGAATTTAGATTAAAAAAATAAGGGTAATTTCTTAATGAGTTGCAGGATAAAGAATGTTTCTTTTTAAAGTGGCATTTTAACAAGCTTGAGGAGTAGATTAGCATTCTTATGTGGAATTATTAGTCATTTAATAAAGAACTTTATTTCATAATTCATGAAGTACATCTGGAGTAATTGTACTGTGTGATTAAATAACTCGAGATTAAAAATGCTCACAGCATGTTTATCTACTGGCATGGTGGGTTTGAAATGAATCATTAATCTTCTGTTTCACTGGGATTTACATATTATCATTTACATGCTGTCCATTGAAGTAATATACACAACAACAGCTGAATTGTGAGACTTTTTCAGCAGGGATCTAGCTAGCTATTAATTAGCATAATGGAGTCAACACTGTGCTGTCTTGCCCTGATATGCTTTGACTAATCACAGTGTTAAAAGAAAGTTTTAAAGCATTTTAAGCTTTCTGAGGATGCTGACATTCTCCTAATATTTCCAAAGTCCTTGAAGACTATCATTGTGGTTTTGTGCCCTCATTAATCTCTTCATTATTCCTTGGGATATAAAACTAAATGGCCAAAAGATTTTATAGTTTTTCTAATTTAACAAATGGTTCAGACTCAGTAGGGCTTCTCTTTTGTTTCTACTGATAAAAGCCACTTACCAGAATCCATCTTTTTCTCCTTCCTTCAAATGGCAAGTTCCACCATGTTGACAAGGATTACTGATGCAGGCATGAATTGGAATATCGCAATCTTGGCCCTGGGATAGAATCAAAAATAAGACAACCATTGGATGTTCATGAAAAGCTCTTGTAATATTTGGGAAGAATGATGAAACTTATATGCTCCTTAGCTCAGTTCTTTAGCTCACCTAGTACATACCTTAAAGCCATAAGGACAGGTACATCTGTAGAAGTCAACAGGATCATTGTTACAAGTTCCATCATTTTTACATGGATTTGATAAGCAGGGGCTACATTTGGCAAGAATATTAACATCCACAGGCCCTTAAACAAAATACAAATTCAACACTTAGAGACAAACATCTATTATTTATTCATTTGTATTGGATAATATATTTGTGTCATACTGCTTTTTGGGCATTTTCTTGTGATACAATTATTGTCTAATCATTCTGGCACTTCTGTATGCTTTAAAACCACATCAGATGGATGAGGATCTGCTGGCCAGCTATACTGTTTTAATTATCAGAAGGCTGGATGAGTGCATAGGTACCTTGAGATTACTCTTAGGCCTGTCATACAAAAATGTTCTTATACTATCCTTCAGAAAGCCTTCAAACAAATATCCTCACCATTCCAGCCCGCCTCAGAGTCAGACTGAGGGTGAAAACAGATGTTGCCTTTCATCGTGTCTTTGTGCCACCATAAAATCTTAAATATAGGCCGTTTTGGAGCACCTTCATCTGAACCCTCATTAAATAAAGGTTAATTTGTTGTGCGATTCTGCAGTTGTTCTGTAGAACACTTTCAGGGGGCCAATTGTGCAACAAAATGTCACTTCTGTTAGTGCCCCATGTTCCTATTCACCTTCCATTCACTACTGGCGAGGACCAGTTGTTGTAATAGAACTCAAGTGGCTTAGTACCGATAAAGTCTGCCTTTTCATAATTGCAATCAAATGGAGCTCGTCTTATTTACACTCTAATATTAAAATAGTTCAAAGGTGACCTTTTTGAATTTATAGACATTCTGCAAAAATAGGGTGATTCTTTCTCTCTCTTTTATACATGTATAAAAAAAAGTCCATTTAAACAGCACAGATTACTTAAAAAAAATCCAGGCATCTTAAAAATTCAAAACAGATTTTCCCAAAGGTGCATTTTTGAGTTATGAGTGAGGTTAGTTGAATTTTTGTCACATAAGTAAAGGCACAGGCTATGTTTTCACAATTTTCAATTAGCTAATCCTGACTCATAGATTGTTTTCCTAGTCCTCTGTGGGAGACAATAGACATGTGACCGAAACAGCAGCAGGGTGACTAGAACCATTCTCTATTAAGTATGCTAGACAGGTGCTGTCACCTGGGCTATAGACAGCACATAGCAAACACCCTGATCCCCTGATTTAACATTGGAAGCGTGCCTGGGAAAGATTCCATTATGTATCCCAGTGAGGTAAGGAGAACAATGGGGGTGGGGTGGATGAAGAGTCAATGGGGCCCTCAATGTACAGTGAATACTTTCCAAACTTTGAGGTTCCTGTGTTATTAAGTTTACAAATAGTTCTGCAATTCTGACACTGGTTTAGTTCATGATTTTGTCTGATTTACGATAGGAAGTCTGGTTTCCTGTGTGCTCTCCCGTAGTAAATAAATGAGTTGCTACTTCAAAACACTAGTGTCCAATAATATGAGATTTTATATGGTATTTTGCAAAGGGCTGTAGTTTTAATGCTGTACTTTTATATTGAGGGAAATTGGATTAATGCCTTTATGTATAGTGTGTCTATGGTAATATGGAGTTCTGAATTTATTTATTGTCCTTGAAATTCTTGAAAGTTGAAAATGAGAATACTGCATAATAGCAAAGGTATAAAAACACTGAAAATGATAAAATATTCTACATTTCTTTCAAACAGAACACCAAAAACACCATCCCTTGTTTTGCCAAATAGCTGCTTTATTGATATTTTTTTTTTTTGTAGTGGTGAAGTAGGCAAAGCTTCAAAGTCCCATTGTCTTACAGTACAAGCCTATCTCTTTCATGTGACTTCTCTTTCTTGGTTTTATTTTATGTAACTTTTGTTTGCTAATTTTCAACGCTGTCTTTGTGTAATAAACAGATTGCAAACATAAAGTTAATTCAGAATACTTCCCATGCATATTTAACCTAGTGGGAAGAGAGGCTATTTGGGAAACGATAATTTATTTAAAATTTTATCTTCTGCTGGTGGCTCTCCTCGCAGAACACAGAATTAGTTACTCAGGCGCAGGGTTAAATACACCTCTAATATATGTTTACATTAAATGAAAACTTAGGGTGCAAAGCAATCACCCAAAATGGAACAAAGGCTTTTCATATGAAAATAAAGATTTAATAGTAACTTCCTTGCCTATAAATCAGACATTCTTCACCGATCTTAAGGCTTAAGGTTGAAGAATTTTATCAATCAAAATAATTTTCTAAAAAGCTGTTTGTATTAAGTGGTGAAGTACAAATTATACTCTTATGATTTTCCTGTCAACGGTTTGACAACTATACTTTTTATCTGTAGTGACAGACGAGGTGTTGTAATGAAGTTAACAGGAACTGACGGAAGGGAAACTCGACCCTGTGCCATCATGCTTGTTATATCCAATATTGTATTTGTTATATCCTGTTTTCAGCAATGTGTGGAAGGCCATGTTGGGAAACAGCTGACCAAGTTTGTTTTCAATATTTCTCTCTACCTTTTGTGGTTGAGCTCATATGGAATTGCAAATAATTAAAAAACACAGTGAGCTGCAGAAAGGTGGTGGTTTTTATTTTCAGTGACATAAAACTCTGTATGGATCATTGACCATTTGTTTGCATCATTGCCTTAGTTTAAATAAGAAATCTAAAACTAATTAAAGTTCCTGTTAAAGGGAAAAAACAACATAGCTAGGCAAGTTGAAACAAATGTCATGAAATTATCACTGCAAATGTCCTGCCTATAGACTAGTGCTGAGTGAATGGCAGAAGGCTGTAAGGTTCATTCAAGCAAATATGGAACAAAACAAAAAAGTGAGTGCTAAGTGATAATTCTATGCTGTAACATTATGCTTCCTCATCTATTCTTCCAGTGTCTATCCCCTGCATTTGGTGACTTGCCTTTTACTTCATGGATAATAAAGATGTAAAATATCAGTAATTTTGATTATATTAAACACATTAGATCTACAAATCTAAATGCAAGTCCTATGATTAAAGTCTCTTTTTGGATATTTACTGTAACTTGTAACATTGGATCAAAAGTACCACAACAACTATTAAGGACAGATAGGGTGACAACATGGGGGTGACAATGTGGGGGAAAATATTTTTGTTATATCCAATCTCAAATAAGACCTGTTTTCAGCTGTGTGTGGAAAGTCTATTGGATCTTGTTTAATTGTGAATATATCTAGCACATCCTAATTGGACATCTAACAATTTAATAATTACTGTTTAATCTGAATTCCCCTCTGAGCATAGAAATACTTGTTACTTGCATTGATAGTGTGTAAATATTTTTATAGAAAGCCTTATGACGTCAAATGAAAATCACTTGTTGATCTGTTTCTCCAATGGCAGTAGACTTCAGTGGAAAGAGAAATAAGCACCACTTTTTTATTTCATTTCTCCTGCTCTCTTAATTTATATTGCTTTCATCTTCCTTTTTTTATTTTTGCTCCTTTTATCTTGGGTAAATACTGCCTAAATCACAGATGACCAACCTGTGGCATGGGCAACCTGTGAGTGTAGCATGCAGCAGATTTGAGGGGGAGACAGGCAGCACAGTGGCAGATAAGGCAAAATGCAGAGCATCAGATCAGGTAGGGAGCACAGGGCATGGAGCAGAAAGAATAACTTGGTCAGGGAGGACAGGGAAAGTAGAAAGCTGTACAGCAGATCAGCTGGGGAAAGAGAATAGAGTGGCAACTCAGGGAGGGTACCCTGCAGGGCTAATTTGTGGCACACCTGTCAAAAAGGGTGGCCCCACTAGCCTAAGTGATTTAGGATCCTAATTTTCATTAACAAAAGGGACAGATATATAGGAACCTGATTCCCCATGAGACAGTAGTTATCACTGTGTCCAGATTTTGCATTAAACTAATTATTTGAAAGTATGTAATAGTTCATATCCAGCATAAATTTAAATCCTGTTATACCAATTCCTTAAACCAGAAGGTCAGAAGAATAGGGAAAAATCTTGTATACTTTCTCTGAATTTTAGCCAAAATAAGTTTTGCTTTAAAAAATTAAGATTTTGTTTCCACATTAACCTTTAATGTTCAGCTAACACCTTAGGATCCCAGCATGCATGCCAATACCAATATAAATTAAAAAAGAGATTTAGCTAAGGTAAATAAATAAAGATAAATCTGTAATGTACATGAACCATGTCATACTTGCAAGAAAAAATCACTATTTAGATCAGGGATGAGCAATAATTTCAGCCTGCAGGACACAAAGGGAGTTTTGCTGAGCTGTCACGGGCAGTCAGCAGCCCCCTACCCCTGCACAATAGCTCACCAAAACTCTTTATATGGGATGGGGCTGTGGGTGGGCGAGGAGCAGTGCTCGGGAGTGGGGCAGGTGGGCAAGGCCAGGATCACAGGGTAGGGTCACGTGGTGGTGACAGTGTGGCGCTGGGGCCAGGGCCAGGGCATAGTCACAATCTGCTTTCCACATGCCGCTGCAATGGATGCTGGTCCTGTGGATGGGGGCATGCAGGGAGTGGGTCATGCTCTGAGCTCTGGCCCTGTGCTGTCACCGCTCTAAGATCACAGCTCTGACACTGGATGCAGCTCCCCTCCTGGCTGCGGCCCCATCCCGGGCATCTGACTATGTGTTCTGCCTGTGTGGCTTCTGGCTGGTCTCCATGGACACCCCAGGATAGCAGCTAGTTACAACATAGGGACAGGCCCAGGGCAGAGCCATGCTGTGCTCCCTGAATGTCCCAGCCAGCAGAACAGGGCCTGGCCCTGTGCTGTCACCACCCTGCGATCCCAGGGTCTCCATGGAGACCAGCCAGGAGCCATGTGGGCAGAGCACTTGGGTGGGCGGGGAGCTGCATCCGGGGTCAGGTCTGGGATTTGTGGCGGTGACAGCATGGGGCTGGGGCTGGGGCCAGGGCCAGGGCTGGGGCCAGGATCCAGTCCCCACACACCCCTGCCCCCATAGTTCGTGCTTGTCACAGGGCTGGGCAGGCAGTGGGTCATGGTTCTGCCCTCGGCTCTGGCCCTGTGCTGTCACTGCCCCAAGATCCCAGGGTCCCACGGTCTGGCCATCTGTATCACTCCCGGATACCACTCCCCACTT